TGGCAGCCAATTAATGTTTGTTTTGAAATTAGCCAGAGAAGATTAAATTAATCCAAAAGATTCTAAGTACTAGTTTCAGAATACTTCATTAGTATCGATGTTTACTTACATCAAATAGGATTCATGTGGCAACATACTTGTTGCCATATACTCTGTATTTAAAGAAGGGAATGAGATAAAATGGCATCTATTACCTAAGAAATTCCAAGTAATTCAAGCAAGTACACTTATGCCCTCCTCTGTAAATGTTCTTTCCAACAATTAATAATGCCTTTGAATCATTTTTTCCCCTGCCACAACCCTTGAAACATTTTTTTAAAGAAAAAAAGTCACCTATCTTTCTAGTTCACCAAGTTACATAACCTCTCTAAGCTTGTTACCTCCCCTATAAAATCAAATAATAGTAATAATATTAATATGCCTACATAGTAGATTATTGTGAAGATTAAATAATTCCATAAGTCTATGTTAATTTTCAACACAGTTTCTGACACATAGTAGGGCTCAGTATATGTGTCAGCTAATGTCACATTAATTCATATATATTAATCATAATTACAACCAGCATTATATATTAATAAACATTTAATATCCCATTAATAGCATAAATATTAAATATTTAACTGCACAATGAAATAGCTATTATCATTCCCATTTGGTAGTTGAGGAAACTGAGGCAAAAAGGTGCCCAGACAATTTGGTGTGGGCACTCACAGATATATCTATTAAGCTATTTTGTTTCCTGCATGACAATCTTAATAAACTTGGATTAAAAATATGTTATAGTTTTAAACAATTATAAGTTAAAGAATCAGACCAATTACGGCCAAGCGCGGTGGCTCACGCCCATAATCCCAGCACTTTGGGAGGCCGAGGCAGGTGGATCACAAAGTCAGCAGTTCAAGAGCAGCCTGACCAACATGGTGAAACCCTGTCTCTACTAAAAATACAAAAAGTAGCTGGGCGTGGTGGCAGAAGCCTGTAATCCCAGCTACTTGGGAGGCTGAGGCAGGAGAATCGCTTGAAACCGGAATGCGGAGGTTGCAGTGAGCTGAGATTGCGCCACTGCACTCCAGCCTGGGCAACCAGAGCAAAACTCCGTCTCAAAAAAAAAAAAAATAAGACCAATAGCCTAAAGACACTGAATGAAATCATGGACTCTATTCAACTGGGAGTCAGGTTACTCCTCTATAAAATTTGATCCTTCCCCTAGAAAAGAAGGGAGCAAGGGAGAGAGGATGAAAAACAAGAAAAAGAATCTGAGAGAGTCAGAAAAAGACACAACAGAGAGCACAGGAGCAAAGAAGCAGGCACGTGGGTGATAATTGAAGGGGAGGTGAGAACTTGGAGCAGCCGTGAGAGACAGAAAGTTCTTGCCTTGTTAGTAGAAAAGGTAAATAAAGGGCTTCAAAAAAGGACTAGAGAAGAACTTGCCCAGGAGATACTAAAAAATAACCTTACTATAACCACTTTTTACAACATTTTACATACATTTATTACATACTCATCTTTGATGCCTTCCCAACTCATTTGGCCACAACAGTCACTTAATGATAAAGGAGGAACAAGCTGGAATCCATACCTGATATGGCATGTGCATCTTCTCCATGTAGAAGCTTCTTAAGTTTCTTACTAACCAGATCCAATAAAAGTAACTGGTGTCTTTACACAAAACAGGTATTTTCAAATATTTAATATAATTTTTTCTAGCCAGCATTTCAACATAGAAAGAAAAACATCTCCGTATTTTTGACCAATGAGTAGAGGGAGAGGATCGTAGATGAATGGAAAGGGTGGGTGGTAGAAGGCCTCTGAATTATAAATTCTTGAAATTTTTTTAGCACTCTTAAAATCTTATTTTCTGCTTTCATGTATGTATTATATTTAAAATTAGGTTAGGCCGGGTGCGGTGGCTCAAGCCTGTAATCCCAGCACTTTGGGAGGCCGAGACAGGTGGATCACGAGGTCAGGAGATCGAGACCATCCTGGCTAACACAGTGAAACCCCATCTCTACTAAAAAATACAAAAAAATAGCCGGGAGAGGTGGCGGGCGCCTGTAGTCCCAGCTACTTGGGAGGCTGAGGCAGGAGAATGGCGCAAACCCGGGAGGCGGAGCTTGCAGTGAGCGGAGATCCAGCCACTGCACTCCAGCCTGGGCGACGAGACTCCGTCTCAAAAAAAATAAAAAAATAAAAAAATAAAATAAAATAAAATTAGGTTAACCCATCATTAGTGAAATGTTCTCCTATAACAATAAAAATTATTTGTACTTTAATTACAGCATTTATTTAAATAACATTACACAGTCCATATGTAAATAGTAGCTCTAAAATACATTAAAATTTTTATCTTAAAATAGGCAAATAGGCCAGCCATGGTGGCTCACACCTGTAATCCCAGTACTTTGGGAGGCTGAAGTGGGAGGATCACTTGAGTCCAGAAGTTCAAGACCCGTCTGGGCAACACAGCGAGATCCTGTCTCTAATAACAACAAAAAAAATCCCCAAACAAAATAGGTATCTATTTCTTTTCTAATTTGGTTATAGCAAAGGTAATCCCAGACTACTACACATATCTGGAGAAATAATCCATTGACTAATACTGTTACAGAGGGCATGCCCTAGCCCTACAATCCCAAAGCTCAGGTCTAGATAGCTCCTTCATCCTGGCTCACAGGCTACCTTTTCATTAGCTTCCACCCATCCTGCCACTTTCCAGCCATGATGCTGTCCCCATTAATTCATTCTGTCATTCAATAAAAATTGAGTGAGTGATTGTTATGTGCCAGGTACTGTTACAGGTGATGAATGAGTAGATCAAGTTCCCGAATTTATGGGAAGTTACATTCTCATAGGAAAGACAATTTAACAACAACAACAACAACAAAATAGGCAAATACATAATACATATAATTTCAGGTAGTGGTAAGTGCCACTATGAAAACAAAGTAGAGAAAGAGGCTAGAGTGAAAGCAGCGGTCAAAGGTAAACAGAACAGGGAAAGCTCTGTAATAGGAACAAGCGTGGCACGTTCCAGAGCCCCTATCATAAATATCCCCACCTCAGCCTCCCTGAAATACGTCAGCCTCTAATCTCTAGAAACCAACCATCAGGGCCCTTCTCCCCACTTCCTGATTCTCATACCCCAACTTCCTCCAGCCCATGTCAAGTTGCTTGTCTCCATTTGTGGCCTGGTACAAAACTTGAACCAATATGTTTCTGTTTTTTTAGATGGAGTCTCGTGCTGTCGCTCAGGCTGGAGTGTAGTGGCCCGATCTTGGCTCTCTGCAGCCTCTGCCTCCTGGGTTCAAGCGATTCTCCTGCCTCTGCCTCCCAAGTTGCTGGGATTACAGGTGCCTGCTGCTACGCCTGGCTAATTTTTTTGTGTTTTTAGTAGAGACTGGGTTTCACCATGTTGGCCAGGCTGGTCTCGAACTCCTGACTTCCAGTGATCTACCCGCCTTGGCCTCCCAAAATGCTGGGATTACAGGCATGAGCCACTGCACCTGACCTGAACTAGTATGTTTCCTTATGACACTGCTAGTTTGAACATGAAGGGGGAGGTAGAAAGATGAAAAAAATCCTTCCTAATATCTGTACCACGTGTAGGAAAGAGGCAGATTCATTTATGCAGAGGAGGGGGTAGAGTGAGAAAGAAGAAAGCAGAGAGAGGCTGAGTAGTACAGAAGAGGAGAGAGGAGAGGAAGTGTTCTTTCTAAATTGCTAGTTGAAATCTGGGACCCATTTTAGCAGGTAAACTACATACGAGAAAAAGTACATATGAGAATTTTACTTTGGTGACTGTAGTATTAAACATTTACATAACCTGGGCCCTTACTACCATCTGTTATTTATTTATTTGGATGAAAAACTAGGTGTAGAGTACCTAACAATTGACTTACAAATGACCTTTTAAAATAGGTTTCATTCAAAATTCGGGGGGAATGAAACATTTTTAAATGTTTAATGTTAATGAGGACTGCCTCTATTGTATATACTTAGTGCCACATTTTTCTTGTAAATAATGGAAAAAAAAAGTTCAGTTAAGGTCACAGAACTGTTACAAAATTTGGATCAATATGTTGCATTATGACATGAGACAAAAAATTTTTTAAAAATAAAATGGGGTCTTGCAATGTTGCCCAGGCTAGTTGAAAACTCCTGGGCTCAAGTCATTCCACCCCAGCCTCCAGAGTAGCTGGGGTTAAAGGCATGTATCACTGTGCCCAGTTAGACGCATTTTTAAGCAAGGAAACAGAAGAAAGAGAATTCTTTATAGAGGCTTTGGAGAAATAACACCATTAAAAGTATTCATACTATTATCTGGTACTAAAATACAATAGTGAGGCTAAAAAAAACTCTTGCAAAAATGCTTCAAAATATATTAAGACCATGTTTTACTAATGCTACTGCTACTCGTAAGTGTTTTGCTTTGTTTTGAGACAGGGTTTCACTCTGTCACCCATGCTGGAGTGCAATGGTGTGATCACAGCTCACTGCCGCCTCAACCTCATGGGCTCAACTGACCCTCCCACCTCAGCCTCCCTAGTAGTTGGGACCACAGGTGTGTGCCACCACGCCTTGCTTTTTTTTTTTTTTTTTGAGACAGAGTCTTGTTCTGTTGCCCAGGCTGGAGTGCAGTGATGCAGTCTTGGCTTACTGCAACCTCTGCCTCCTAGGTTCAAGCGATTCTCCTGCTTCAGTCCCTAAGTAGCTGGGATTACAGGCACGTGCCACCACACCTGGCTAATTTTTGTATTTTTAGTAGAGACGGGGTTCTGCCATGTTGGCCAGGCTGGTCTCGAACTCCTGACCTCAGGTGATCCACCCACCTGGGCCTCCCAAAATGCTGGGATTACAGGCATGAGCCACTGTGCTCGGTCTGTTATTTTTCTGTATAGATGGGGTTTTGCTATGTTGCCCATGCTGGTCTCGAACTCCTAGGCTCTAGTGATCCACCTGCCTCGGCCTCCCAAAGTGCTGGGATTACAAGTATGAGCCACTGTGCCCAGCCAACAAAATGGTTTTAAGTCTCCTTCCTTCTCTTTTATGGGTGTGGGGAGTCAGCATTTCTTTAAACTTTGCACATTATAGGTACTTAGTAAATTATTTACTAAGTGAATGATTTTCTTTTTTGCTTGACACAAGTAGCTTAGTAATAAAAGTGCCCAGGCAAAATGCCAGAGATACCTTGAAGAGCTCAGAGTGGTACTCCAGTAGAAACCAGACCAGTTGTTCTGCCCACACTTTTAATAATGATTTGGTCTGCGAAACTGATTTGGCAAGAGTTTTCAGGACCACTGTTTTATTATCATACTGTAAACAGAAACATTAACATTAGCATAAATGGTTTTTAAAGGAAAAAAATAGCAAAAAAATGGTAAAACTTAGCAAAATTTTTCACCTGTTTTTGCAACTTGTAGGCATTGGGCTTTGACGCCACGCCATAAAAGTAAGTAGCCGTTGTAATTCTTCTCTAATGTTCGGCAACAGCAATCTTAGATATAGTTGTATTGCTTCAAGTGCTTCTGCCCTTTTCTCATTTTCTGTTATATGGGTTACAAAGAAAACAAAGCATAGGATGAAAAATGGAGAGTATAGTAAGTATTTATTTAGTAGTCAATTAAAATGCTACAATGTTGTATTGGTTTGCAGGTTCTTTTCTACAATTAAAACTTTTTATTATGGAATATTTCAAACACAGGAAATTATATAATTCTATGTAATATGTGATGTAGCTATATCCAGCATTATCGAACATTATTTTGTTTTTAACATGAAATTATATGGCCACTTACATAGCTAAAAAATGACATGTCATTCACTTTTTATTTTGCTGAAAGTTTATCAAATTAATAACTCAGAAGTTAGTATTTCTAGGTACCTCAGTTCTTAAATCCTTATACTATATCATATGCTTTTTTCTTTCTTTTTTTTTTTTTTTGAGACGGAGTCTCGCTCTGTCACCCAGGCTGGAGTGCAGTGGCACGATCTCGGCTCACTACAAGCTCTGCCTGCCGGGTTCATGCCATTCTCCTGCCTCAGCCTCCAGAGTAGCTGCGACTACAGGCGCCTGCCATTACACCTGGCTAATTTTTGGTATTTTTAGTAGAGACGGGGTTTCACCATGTTGGCCAGGCTGATCTCGAACTCCTGACCTCAGGTGACTCACCCTGCGTCGGCCTCCCAAAATGCTGGGATTACAGGTGTGAGTCACCGCGCACGGCTATATCATGTTTCTTAGAATGTCCCTGCGATGCTCTGTGATGTATTCCTTAGATTTATGCACTATACTATATTAGTTACATTTGATAATAGAATCTACAAGGTAGGCAATAGTAGTGAAGTAAAACAAGACTTCCTGAAGTACCTTGACATCATAGAAGAAAAATATTAAAATGTAATACTCATAGAGTATACACAATTTTCTATTTCAACTTGTATATTTTAAAGTATTTTATTACACTAAAAATTAAAGTATAAACATCCTGTCTTACCTAAAAGTTCAATAAGTCCTGAATGAATATCAAAATACTCATCAGTTAATAGGCAATCTCTCTCTTGAGCATAGTATTTTGCTATGACATCAAAGAGTATCTTCTGACTGTTCAATCTTGTCTCTTCATTTCTGTTTTGCAGTAACTGCTAATTATAACTACTAACTGGTCAGGGAAATACTCCAAGCATTCAATTGCTGCATTAAGCTAGTTATTGATCCTAGAGGGAAAACGCAAACCAAAATAAAGCAACGGTTAACATTTCCATTTAACTAAAGCACTATTTGATAAAACATGATAAAAACTAGCTTATTAAAGCTAGATAAATCTAAAGAAGAAATTATTTTTTGGGAGAAGCATTTCAATACATTTCGCTGGATGAGTGAAGTACTGTATGAGAGGGAATGGCTGTATTCCTTACTGAATACCACCACACCTTTATGGACCTTTATTTTCAAGAAGTTAAAATAATTTTTAATGAACGCTTTATTATTTATTTCTAATTTTGTTAGTAGTTACCCTCCCTTTTCCTGCTCCGATGAGATGCATATGGTTCTATTATTATTTGAAAATAAGATACCAAATATTTCCCTAACCTAGATGTACTGTTTACCCCACCATACATTGTTTCCACAGTAAGATAAGAAATTCAGGGTCCTGTCACCCCTGCCCTCCAGTGACTCCTTTAGAAGGCCTTTATTTCTCCCTTTTCCATATCTGCTGCCCTCCCAATCCCCAGGTTTTGCCAAGATAGGTTAGTATTTATTGTAATTTCCCTTAAGGGTATGTCCCTTTTTTTTGACTTTTTTTTTTTTTTTTGGTGCAGGGTCTTACTCTGTTGCCAAGGCTGGAGTACAGTGGCATGATCTCGGCTCACTGCAACCTCTACCTCCTGGGCTCAAGCAATCGTCTCACTTCAGCCTCCCGAGTACCTGGGACTATAGGCGTGCACCATCACGCCCGACTAATTTTTGTATTTTTTATAGAGATGGGGTTTTGCTGTGGTTGCTCAGGCTCGTCTCAAACTTCTGGACTCAAGTGATCCATCTGCCTTGGGCTTCCAAAGTGCTAGGATTATAGGTGTGGGCAACTGTGCCTGGCCTGAATTCTTTATAATCCTCAAATATCTTTCTTTCCTTCCTCCCTCCCTCCCTCTCCCCTTTTGTTCCTTTCTTTCTCCCTCCCTCCTTCCCTCTCTTTCTTCTGTTTTAAATATGACACAGGGTCTCGCTATGTCACCCAGCTAGAGCGCAGTGACATAGTCATAGCTCGCTCTAACTTCCAACTCCTGGGCTCATGTGATCCTTTCACCTCAGCTTCTTGGGCAGCTGAGACTACAGACATGTGCTGTCATGCCTAGCTAATTAAAATTTTTTTTTTTTTTTTTTTTTTAGAGAGACAGGGTCTCGCTATGTTGTCTTCCTTGAATTCCTGGCCTCAAGCAATCGTCTCACCTTAGCCTCCCAAGTTGCTGGGATTACAGGCCCTTTGGCCCTTCTTTCCTTCTTTCTCTTTTTTTTCTCCTGACAGATGAATAGTACATCTTGCCTAATATGTGTGATTGTCTTCTAGATCCTAGTATTGCAGATGAAAAGACTAATGAAAGTTTGATTGCTTTTCTCTTACAGATAACCTGCCCCTTCTGCCTGGAAGCTTTTTAAGGCAGACTGGCTCCTGTGGGTTCCCTGCAGAGGCACCTGCAGAAATCCTGTTTCTTTTCTGGTGTCCCTATACTACCCCTGACTCAAGGGCAGGAAGACTCAGCCCTTTGTTTGGGTCTTTCTTGGCCTATTGCGAATAAGAGAAATCTGCCATGTACAAACAGGACCACAGTTGACTAAGAGGGTCCAGAGGTCTCTGATCACTAATCTCTTCACAAGATACGACGTTTTCTGGTCCTCAGCTTTGGTGTCTAATCTTCTTTCCTTGTTTGGCTCACATAGGAGGAAGCACTATATCAGTTCTCCCTGCTGGAATCCCAATAGTACTCAAGGTCTAATGCCTATAGTTTCCATCAGCTGCTTTATTCAGAAGTGAGAAATAGCTTGGAGTTGGGAGTAAACGGGAAAGGAGGCTCATTCAGGGTTCCCTTAATCTCTTATCTACAAATTAGGCTGATGTTATGATAGGGCTTATCTCGTCAGATTATAATTTTTTCTCTCATGTATGTCTCCCCTTCTAGACTATGGATTCTTCTAGGGCAGGGATAAATAAGCTGGTAGAAACTGGGATGGCTATATTATTTAGGATAATAAAATGGAAATGACAGAATTTTGGATGATGCAGGGAGAAGACGACTGACATATAAATGAATTCATATGAACCAAACCACTCTGATTTCCAGTGATCTTGTAGGTCATGACCGATGGCTTTGTTAGATCAAATGGGGATTCATAATGATAATTTATAAAAGAGAGATGGTATCAGCTTATAATATGAATATTTTCTCACATTTTAAAATAGCAAGGGCAAATATGTGAAAAAAACTGTTTATAAATTATTTGACAATAACAATGGTCACTTATTCAGTAGACATAAACTTGGAATAAGTTTTCTGTCTAGGCAAGTATTCGCGGTAACAAGATCTTCCTCTTTGTTTAATAGAAGATTTTGTGTTTTAACTGGAGGCTCCAAAATATTGTCCAAGAATGGAAGGTGAATCGATCAAAGAAGACATAATAATGTTTGTTCTTTCCAAACATCTTGTATAACTTGAAAAGGAAAGTAATGCAATGATCAAGATTGGCAAATAAAACATACACATTCAACCAATATTATAAAATAATTCTATTTCTAAATAATACAAAAGCAAAACTGGTTCAGTAGTAATATAATGGGTTAATTTAATGATTAGATAATTTACACTTGTTATATTACAATTTTTCAAGATTGATCTTAAACATCAGAGTTATGAGCCATATTAATTTTTTGTTATGCTGATCATAAAGACACATTCCAAATATAAAAAACTACTAGTCATGCTTATAACTTATACATCTGAAAGAATATAAGATTACTATTTATCTTTCTATTTATAGTAACACAGATAATTGTAGTTCGTTGTTTTTAAACTAAAATACAGTATTAGGCCAATTTTATCTTGGATTTCCAGTCATTCCTGTTAAGTACCTGTTAAGTTTTTCATCACCCTAACCATCATCATAATTAATACTTTGTTTTTCCTTTATTTTTATTTTATTTTTATTTATTTACTTATTTTTTGAGACAGAGTGTCACTCTGCCTCAGCCACCAGAGTAGCATTCCCACTCAGGTTGGAATGCAGTGGTGCAGTCTCGGCTCACTGCAACCTCTACCTCCCCTGCCGAAGCGATTCTCCTGCCTCAGCCTCCAGAGTAGCTGGGACTACAGGTGTGCACCACCACGCCAGACTAATTTTTGTATTTTTAGTAGAGATGGGGTTTCACCATGCTGGCCAGGCTGGTCTCAAACTTCTGACCTCAAGTGATCCACCTGCCTTGGCCTCCCAAAGCGCTGGGATTACAGGTGTGAGCCACCGCACCCGGCCTGTTTTTATTTATTTATTTATTTTTGAGATGGAGTTTTGCTCTTATTGCTCAGGCTGGAGTGCAATGGCACACCACAGCCTCTTCCTCCTGGGTTCAGGTGATTTCTCCTGCCTCAGCCTACTGAGGAGCTGGGATTACAGGCATGCGCCACCACGCATGGCTAATTTTATGTTTTTAGTAAAGACAGGGTTCCTCCATGTTGGTCAGGCTGGTCTTGAACTCCCGACCTCAGGTGATCTGCCTGCCTTGGCCTCCCAAAGTGCTGAGATTACAGGCATGAGCCACTGTGCCTGACCTATTTTTTATTTTTTAAGGCTAGTCAAGTGAAGCAGTGGAAGTGGAGAAGGAACAAAGAAATCTGTAACTGGTTGTAATCAATTAGTTGTAAATACCATTGCACTTGGACCAGCCTGGTTTTCCTTTAATCTAACAAAATTACAAAAGCAATGTTATAGTAAGTTTCCTGCAGAGCTCCCAAGCCAGTGGCCTGTGGACTAAATTTGGCCCACAGCCACGATTTGCTTGGTTATAAAGTACTTTGAAGAAAATTAATGTATAAAAATGGGAGATTTCATGTGAAATTCTAAAATGTATAGATAGATAGATAGATAGATAGATAGATAGATAGATAGATAGATAGGGTCTTGCTCTGTCATCCAGGCTGGAGTGCCATAATATGATCATAGCTCACTGCAGTCTCAAACTCCTGTTCTAAGTGCCAGGGATATAAAGGTAAACAAAACAAGCAACCATAAAACAAAAACAGGATGCCACAAGAAAGGAAATTCTGAGAAGTTAAAAGTGCTTTTAGGAAAAAGTAAAAAAAGAAGAAAAAAATGAAAAGTGCTTTTAGGTATCAGTAAGAAAACTGGAGGATACATTTGAAGATACTTCCTAGTAGGTAAAACAAAAAAATCCCCAAAATATGAACAATAAGAGAGAAAAATATATACAAATTACTGCCTGGGCGAAAGAGTGAAACTGTGTCTCGATGGCCAGCCGAGGTGGCTCACGCCTGTAATACCAGCACTTTGGGAGGCTGAGGCAGGTGGATCACTTGAGGTCAGGAGTACGAGACCAGCCTGGCCAACATGGTGAAACCCCGTGTCTGCTAAAAATACAAAAATTAGCCGGGTGTGGTGGTGGGCACCTGTAGTCCCAGCTACTCTGGAGGTTGAGGCAGGAGAATCACTTGGAGGTTGGAGTGAGCCAAGATCACACCACTGCGCTCTAGCCTGGGCAATGTTGAGTGAGACTCCGTCTCAAAAAAAAAAAAAAAAAAAGAGAGTTATCTTTTAGTTCCTCTTCTCAATTCCACACCCTTTCTTTGGGCACCTTGTATTTCCTTTATCATGCCAATGTTAACTATTGTTGATAAATCATACTCCTCCAGCGTGCAAGTCATGACTAGTCTTGCTTCTGGTCATGGTTTGACCAAATGGAGTAAAGGGCCATTAATGAATTTTGTATATATCTCTCCTAACTGCCCTGGCTACGGTGCTCTTTTTTCTGCCATTAGTGGCATTTTAAGGAGAGAAACACTAGTAGATGAAGTACATAGTAAAGGGGAGTGGTGCAATAGGTAGTCTAGCTAGTTTGTTGTGAGAAAGGGAAAGAGTAGGAAGATGTTTGGGAGGAGTATATACAATGGACAAAGGATACACTCATAAGAAGATGGTCTTGCAGTACAAATACTAAGGACTGTGGTGAGTCCGTATGTTTTCTCTCGTAGTACAGACTATAGCACCTCCAGTTAATCTGGTCATGGTCATTGTAAAAAATGAATTAAGTGTTACTAGATGTATACTGTCTCACCTGTCTTACCTGATGTAATTGCTCTGTAGAAGAAAACTCCTACAGGGAAGAGGAGGGAGTCAACACACTAATACACTACTTAAATCACATTTAAAACGTCAGTTCTTGGAAACAGTGAAAGTATTAGCGATTGCCTAAGGTTAGAGAGAACGGAGGAATGAGTAGATGAAGCACAGAGAATTTTTAGGGCAGTGAAACTATTCTGTATGATACTATAATGACAGATATATGTCATCAAAAATTTATACAAACCCATAGAATGTACAATACCAAGACTGAGCCTTAATGTAAACTATGGGCTTTGGGTGATAATGATGTATCAATGTAGATTCATTGATTATAACAAAAGCACCACTTCGGTGCAGGATGTTGATAATGGGGAAGGTTGTGTGTGAGTGGAAGCAAGGGGTATGCGGGAACTGTACTTTCTGCTCTATTTTGCTGTGACCTTGAAACTGCTCATAAGAACCTGTTAAAAAGAAGTTAGTTCTTCCTTACCAAGTTCTGAAAACAATAATGAAAACAAATTACCTTCTTTTGAAAGCCGGAGAAAAGGTTTCTGAACTGTGATATTTGGACATAAAGCTGGATTCCCATTTATTGTATGAATAAGTTCCTCAATTCTTTCCTCACCAATCTCTTGTGCTAGAGGATTTGAAATCATTTCATATTCTGGTCTGTTAAAAAATAATATGTGGCTCTTTTCATTATACACAGAACCAAAATTTCAAATATACATTTAAATTAATGTATTAAAATTTATTCATACATTCTCTATTTCCAAAAAGGATTTCAGGCAGCTTATAATAAAATATGCAAATAATTCATTTAATAGACTATCACCAAAAGAGGACAAATTAGAATTCTAAATCAAGAAGAAAAGCATATATGCTAATTCTAAGGTTAACATAGTTGTTATGATGGAAGAGAAAGTTTTTGATCTGAGTTTCCAGAAAACCTTGGCTTTTAATACATTGGCTAAGTCATTTTTCAAAATTAGAAAGCATATCCATTCCTTAGAAGACATAGTTTTTCCTGGTATAAATTCTGAAAAATGTATGTGATAATGTCTTCAACAACTAAGCAAAACAGAAAACAAAAATGTATTTGCTCTAAGGAAAACAAAATGTTGTAAAGGAAAAGGAATAACATATATTTTTGGTTACAGCAACAGATGCTGCTATATTGGGAACAGTAAAAACTACCGAGATATAATTCACATCCCATACAATTCACTTTTTTTTTGAGACAGATTCTCACTGTGTCGCCCTGGCTGGAGTACAGTGGCACAATCTTGGCTAACAGCAACCTCCACCTCCCCAGCTCAAGCGATTCTTGTGCCTCACTCAGCCACTTGAATAGCTAGCATTACAGGCACCTGCCACCACACCCCGCTAATTTTTGCATTTTTAGTAGAAATTTTCTACTTTGCATTTTTAGTAGAAATTTTTAGTAGAAATTTTCTACTAAAAATGCAAAAATTGGCCAGGCTGGTTTCGAACTCCTGTCCATCTCGCCTCAGCGTGGGCCACCCTGCCTGGCCAAAAGTCACCCTTTTAAAGTGTATAACTCAATGTTTTCTAGTACATTCACAAAGTTGTGCAGTCATCACTATTATCTAATTCTAGTCTATTGCATCATTCCAGTTTTAGAGGAGATGCATAAGTGTATTAATTTTTACATGGATTTTTTTTTAATTGGCTTCTGAAAAAAAGTACACATTCGAGTTTAGCGCAATAAAGATAGTTCTTCTAGGGTCTAAATAAAATATATTACAGTATCTTAGGTAACACTAACTTCAAGGTTTCTTTTGGTTTTATTTCATCATTGAACTCATTCTCAGCATCCTTTTGTCTTTTGCAACAATTGTAAGATGATTTATTGCCTAGAAACGTGTAGAGACGTGTTGGAATCTTCAAATTCCAATTCCTTTTCTTTTTTGAAAAGCTTCTTCATTCCTACTGGTTCAAATACTTTGTGATTCATTAGAACTTGGCAAAGACGAACTCCTTTAAGACGAGAGATCTCATTGCTACTTAGGCATGTATTTTGCATACGATGACTTAAGACCACATTGACAGCATCAGAACCAGTAAAACAGTCTTCGTATGTTCGTAAACGATGCCTCCTTCTTTTTATTTTCACTTGGGCCTGAAGAGAGTGAATAATACCATCCCATAGCTGAGTAGCTTGAAAAGGACCAGAGCGTCCTGAAAAAAATTAAATATACATTTCTAACAAATCTAGATTATACAAAAATATGCAAACTTTTCAGTTTTGACAACCTTATGCCTGTTGAAGGCATATCTGCTGCTAACATCCTTCTTATGTGTCATTTCACATCTTACATAAACTATAGTATATTTATTCAGTTGCACCATGTGGGTCTGCCAATAAAAACAGAGCAAACCTAGGAACTTGCTTTACTGATGTGAAATATATTATTACCTAAATTTATATACCCTTATTACATGGTTAACTACTAGCTATACTTAATCTTCAAGAATGTTATTTTAGGGCACATTTAAAAGTAATGCAAATACATTTGAGTATTGATTATTACAGAGTTGTGGCTTCACCAAACTCTTTGCCTTTTCTTTTTGCCCTTTTGAACCATGGTAAGCTCTTCATTAGGGAGATCAAGGCAAGGAACTAAATAATCAATTTTTTAAAATTGTTTAAAACAGCTGTTTAAAAAGTTTGCTGAGGCCAGGCACAGTGGCTCATACCTGTAATCCCAGCACTTTGGGAGGCCAAGGCAGGCAGATCACCTGAGGTCAGGAGTTCGAGACCAGCCTGGCCAACATGGTGAGACTCTGCCTCTCCTAAAAATGCAAAAATTAGCTGAGTGTGGTGGCATGCACCTGTAATCCCACTTACTCGGGAGGCTGAGGCAGGAGAATCTCTTGAACCCAGGAGGTGGAGGTTGCGGTGAGCTGAAATTGCGCCACTGCACTCCAGCCTTGGTGACAGAGCAAGACTCTGTCTCCAAAAAAAAAAAAAAAGTTTGCTGAAAAACGAAACAGAGGGTCACATACCCACTTGAGTCGAATACTTGAATATAACCCAATTATCTAAATTATGAAATGAAACTACCAAACATTGCAGAGATACTGGGCTCTAGAAAGTGTTTCCACTGTTGCTCCCAATTAAGGGGTTTAGATAAAGATGTGCCTTATCTTACATGAACATATTGGGCAATGAAAAAAAAAAACAGTCCTTATCACATGCTGAACTTACTCTCCAAATAAAAGAAATCTCACTTCTCTGGGCAAAAAGAAAAAAAAATTGCTGAGAAATAATGAAAACCTAAAAACAATAAAAATGTCCATTACTGGCCAGGTTCAGTGGTGGCTCATGCCTGTAATCCCAGCACTTTGGGAGGCTGAAGCAGGAGGATCGCATGAGCTCAGGATTTCAAGACCAGCTTGGGCAACACAGGGAGACGCTATAAAAAATACAAAAAATTAGTGGGGCATGGTGGCATGCTCCTATAGTCCCAGCTGCTCAGGAGGCTGAGGTGGGAGGATCACTTGAGCCGGGGAGGTCAAGGCTGCAGTGAGCTATGACCTCCACACTGCACTCCAGTCTGGGCAACAGAGTGAGACCTTGTCTCAATTAGAAACAAAAACGGTTGGCCAGGCTCGGTAGCTCACGCCTGTAATTCCAACACTTTGGGAGGCTGAGACAGGTGGAGGTCAGGAGTTCAAGACCACGCTGGCCATCATGGTGAAATCCTATCTCTACTAAAAATACAACACAAAAAAATTTAGCTGGGCATGGTGTCGTGCACCTGTAATCCCAGCTACTTGGGAAGCTGAGGCAGGAGAATTGCTTGAACCCAGGAGGTGGAGGTTGCAGTGAGCCGAGATCACATCATTGCACTTCAGCCTGGGCAATGGAAAAAAAAAAAAAAAACAACAGTCTATTACCTGAAAAAAACAGTTAAATTATGATATACCCTTACTATAGAATAGTAGCCAGCCATTAGAAAGAATGAAGTAGAGCTATGTTTATAGTGTGCAAGGATCTCATTAAGAAGGGAAAAATAAAAACCCAAAACAAAATTTTTTTTAAAATGAACTGAGCAGAACAACTTGTATATTATTATCCTACTTAGGTAAAAATGAATTCCCAACCTACATAAAAATGTATGTAAATAAATAGAAAGAACTGGAAGAATAAACTTCAAACGAGTAACCTTGGGGAAGAAGGATTGTAATGGTGGCTGATGAAAGAGGATGTTCATTTTTTAATATATGTTTTTCATTTGATCCCAGTCAAGTTAACATCATTTTTTATTCTATGTTTCCGACTTGTTATAATGGGCACATATAAATTCATATTTTAATTAACTGGAGACAGTAAAAACTACTGAGATATAGTTCACATGCCATAAAAATTCACCCTTTTAAAGTGTACAATTCAGTGTTTTCTAGTACATTCACAAAGTTGTACAGCCATCACTATTGTCTAATTTCAGACCATTGCATCATTCCACAAAGAAACCTATAGTTCGTAGTCATTCTTCATTCTTCCCCACCCCAGTAAAATTTTAATTAAAACATTTAAAGAATGATAAGGGAATAACTTAGAACATCTAGAATGTTTTTCTAGATTTGCAGGGGGAAGTGGGTAGAATCCAAGAATTTAAGCTCTCTTCTCCGACTACGTATAACCGCAAAAGGTATGCCCAACTACACGTATGTTTACGATAAAATGACAAATAAAAATCCACCACCCTCAAATTCCTTCTGTAACAGAAGTCACCCGTCTAATCACTCCAGAAATCTTATCCCCAGACATTGTGGGCAGAGCGTAGACTGAGGAGGGGAGGCCAGAAAGTGATGGGCGGAGTTGGGCAGGAGGGTACTCGAAGGAGTTGGCGGAAGACAGAGCGGTGGAGCCTAGCTGTTTTCCATGGACAATCTACCTCTCTAACCTTCATTAAACAAGTAGGCTAGATTAAAGAAATCACTCCTCTAGCTCAAGGAACTTGCCCTCTAGTACTTTAACCCCTTGTTGCTCTAAGTGTAGCCTAGGGACCAGCAGCATTGGTGCCATCTGGACATGTATTAGAAACGCAGATTATCAGACCCTACTCCTCAATCAGAATCTGCATTTTCACAAGATCCTAGGGATTCGTATGTATATTAAAGTTTGGGAAAAAATGCTTTCCTGCATGCTCCAAGGGCACTTCACCAGAGTAACCCCTAAAAAGCCTCAGTCCTGGGTCCCCCAGTCCAGTGCCTGGGAGACCACGAAGGGGGCGGGCTAGGAAATGGGCGGGGCCCTGGCCCGATGAGGAGCAGAGTCCCAGCCGCCCGCTCCCCTCAGCTCCCCACTCCACCTTCACTACACCTTTGGCTAGGATATACAGGGCCGCATGTCCTCCTTTTCCGGCAGAAGCCACCTCTACGGTTCATGGAACTTGGCCCGTTCAGCCCTGGGCCCGGAAGCTCGTTCTGACTGCCAAGTCTACGGAACCGCGGAGTCAAAAGAACCGCCACAAGCTCGCGTGCTGGTTCCTCCTCTGGCACCATAGCCCCGCCCCCAACTGACACCAGGGGGCGGAGAGAAGTCCTGGCCCCGCCTCTTCCGAACCAGCAGGAAGTGACGTCATGCCCCCGGCCAGCAGGTCTTTTAGTCTTTTTCCCCCTCCCTTACTCTTCGTCCCCAGTCCCTCCCCTCCTCACCCCCTTCCCTCCTCCAGCTCCGACGTTTGCGACCGCGGGGGCGGCGGAGGATATGGAGTAAAGCCGGAGTCAGCGGCCAGGCACCAAGGCAAAGCAGGAATAGCCAGGCGGCGTTTGTTAGGGGGGCGGGGGGAAAGAGCCCCAGCACCGCCCCTCCTGGAAGGAGAAGGAAGAGGTAAGTGACCGGCCGCCGGCACCGAGCAACCTCCCTCACTGGCCGCGCTCTCGCCTGGGCTCCCGGGGCCGGCGAGGAGGCAATGGAGGACTCGCGCCCGGGGTAGGCCTCCCAGGGCCGCCTGGGCTGGTGAATGTTGCCTGGTGACGGGCCTGCCGGCGGCCGGCCGGGCGATCGGCGGTCGGCGCCCGCTCATAGCAGGGCTGGGCGACCAGCGAGCTCCGGGGAGCTGATCCGAGAGGGCCGAGTCCTCGGAAGAGGCCTTGAGGCGACGGGAGACCGGGGATCGGAGTCAGCTGCCGGAGGGAGAGCCCCCCATGCCGGCTGGGGAGCTCGGGTTTCGGTGGTGGAGAACGTGGTACCTTTCGGGGACATTGGACACTACTCTAGGACCGAGTGAGAGAGCTCCCCTCAGTTCTGAGATCTGGAATTCGGTAGCTTGGGTCACCAGCCGGGGCCCTGCCGCCCGCAGTCCTTCTCTGACAGTAGCTTTAGTTCTGGAATGGAAGGTTATTGTGTGTGAGGTGGGTGGGGCAGGTGTTTTGTTAAGACAAAAAACCCCACCGGTTACTCCTGCAGTCTTGTTTTTCTAAGCGGAAGAGAACGGATGGAGGAAGGTTTAGACCGATAAAGCTTGCAAAAACTTCTTGGACTCTGACTGAGCACATACCTGTGATCCGTAATTAAGGAGACCATATTATCAAATCCACCCTCTAAAGCACTCGAGGAGGCTCCAGACAAGCCGCTTAAAAGCGCTATATGCCTGTAGTGACTTCATTGGAAGGTGTCAACTGTTTTTTAGTACGTGAAACTCAGGAATTACTTGTGATGACACTTTTTAAAAACATTGGATTCTATGAGTGAGTTTTCTAAGTAGCATGTCTCCGTTCTGAAAAATAAATAGTTTGGCAAAAATGCTCCAAATCAGCCTGTCACTGTAAAACCCCGTCATGTTCTGGTGATGGCTTGAAAGTCAGATGCTTGAAGATTCCTTTTGGACTTTGCAGGTTTGTTGTTGTTGTTTGGTTTGCTGTCTTATTCTTTAGCACAAATATTTTTAAAATATTTAAAAATGAAATCAGCTGAGTATATAAATTACTTCTTGAGGCAACATTAAACTGTAATCTTAAAGAATGCTTTTGGGGGATTGTGTAAAGGAAGGGAACCTAATGGAAGGTGAGGGCCTTCATTCTTTTTAGGTTTACATTACTCACATGCAGAAACCTATTTGGTCTCTAAGATTCATAAATACCCAATAAAATATATACAGGCACATTGTACTTCTGTAGTATGGAATACTTCCTGTACAGATCAACCCTGTTACTGGGAATAACTACTCATACTCACATGTTTGAAATTCATGATATACCTCCCTTCCCTCACCCCAGGAAGAAAAATAGCTCCTCTTACTGTGTTTAACTCCGTGGGTAGCATCACTATCCATTCTTTTCTATAGAAGTTGAAGTTTGACAGTTCCTCTCTCATGCCTCATACTCAGTCTCTCATGAAGTCCTGTTGATTTTGCCTCTTGAATATCTCTTGACTCTTGTCTACTCTTAGTCTGTAACAGTAGTCCTCCTGTTCCAAGCCACTGCCATCTCTCATCTTGACCACTTCCCTAGCTTCCTGATTATGGTCTGCTTGCATCTACTGTTGTCTCCTGTAGTTTTCCACACCAGACTTAGTGACTTTTTCAAAATGTAGACCTAATAACATTGTCTTTGTGTTTAAAATCTTTCAGTGGCTTCTCACTATTTTTAAGTAAATCGAACACATTAACATGCCTTACAAGCCCTGCATAGTCGGTCCCCTTTCCAATCTCATCTCCACTGTGCTTTCTGACATTCCCTTTCTCCCCTAGTCACTCTGTCTTTTCTGTTCTCCTGCTTCAAGTATGTGGCTTTGGTTATGCTACTTCCTCTGCTTGGAAATGCCCTTCCTTTCTTTTTTTAGCCAATTATGCCTATTCATCATTCAGCTCACTTCAGGGAAGACTTTCCTGATTAGAATAGATCCTCCTGATTATATGTTCTTACCACACCATTGAAGAGTTGCCATGTTTATTAATACTTAATAAATTAATTAGACCTTCCTCATCTCCTGATGTGTAAGTGCTGAATGTTTGTTAAATGAATTCATTTTATGCTTACTGAATGTGCCAGTAATTGTACTTAACATTTACCTCATCATCACCGTTAATCCTTATAACAATCACTTGAGGTATAGCTAGCTTTTCCCCTTTTTATAGATTAGAAATAGTGTTAGGGTGGGTAGTTAGTTAGTCATGGCTGTAGTAAATATTAGAATTGGCATTTGAACTCAGATTTCCTTACCACTGAAGAGTGTGTACTTAACCATTTAACTTAATTTTAGCACTTTGCTGTTCATCAGAATCACTTGGGGAGCTTTCTCAGGATACAGATACACTTCATCTTTATAGGTTCCGATTCCAAAGGTTTGAGATACTACATAGGCATCTATATGGTTTAAGAAGTCATCCAGGTTATTTAGATGTTCATCAGAAATTGAAAACCACTATCTTAGACAGTACTTGTGTTTTATGAGTTTATTTTCATACATTGTATTTGAGATTTTATACTTTTTTTTTTTTTTTTGAGACAGAGTCTCGCTCTGTCGCCCAGGCTGGAGTGCAGTGGCATGATCTCAGCTCACTGCAACCTCTGCCTCCTGGGTTCACGGCATTCTTCTGCCTCAGCCTCCCGAGTAGCTGGGGCTACAGGTGCCCGCCACCATGCCCGGCTAATTTTTTTGTATTTTTAGTAGAGACTGAGTTTCACTGTGTTAGCCAGGATGGTCTTGATCTCCTGACCTCGTGATCCACCCGCCTCGGCCTCCCAAAGTGCTGGGATTACAGGCGTGAGCCACCGCGCCTGGCCGAGATTTTATGCTTTCTTAAATTAAGGAAGAACTGTAGACTTTAAGGAAATAATCATTTAGTCTAATTTCCTACCCAGTTATTCCTTTTCCCTCTTCTCTAGCTGGAAGGCCTGCATAGAGATAAACTGTCATCCCTCTGCTACTGCTTTAAAAAAAATTACAATAATTTCAAGAATGTGATTAACTTCTTGTTGTAAAAACTATAGTTCACTAATTACATGGACTGGAAATAGCTTCAAAAAACTTGGATGTAATTTTTCCTCAGATCTTACTTATTGTTTAAATTACTAATTTGATATTTAAGCATATGTTGCCTAAAATTTCATGTTGCTTTTTTTTTTTTGTATTTTTTTTTTTTTATTTACATAGAGACAGGGTTTCACTATGTTGCCCAGGCTGGTCTCAAACTCCTGAGCTCAAGTGATCCTCCTGCCTTGGCCTCCCAAAGTGCTAGGATTACAGGCGTGAGCCATTGTACTTGGCCTCATGTTGCTTTTTAAATCTTATTGTACAGTGGTCTTAAAATTTGTGACCAACGACGGAAACTGAATGTTTTACTTCTTGTTTCTCCCACTGCTTTCACCCATGGTGAAAAGCATAGTGCTTTTCACCTAGTAGGTACCTAATAATTCGTGTACTAACTTGGCTGTACATTGCTGAGTCTCTTCAGTTTTTTATGTTCATTTTCAAAATCAGGCTTGTCTTCTGTAATCTGTTCTGGCTCAACTGTGTCTGATAATTAGATACTTTTTATAATTGTAAAGAGAATGATTGTACTCAGCTGTTTTAATCTTTGTTCTGAATAAGATTAAACATGATTTCTGTGTAGAACAAAGAAGAGCATTATCCATTTTTTGAAAACTTTCTTTTTAAAAACTTCTAGTAATCTCTGAGTGCTCCCACAAACAGAAACATATATTTCAAGAATACATCTTAAGGCCAACTCTGGCCTTAAGGTTAGCCCTGCTCCTTTCAGAGCAGCTAAAAAAAAAAGAGAGATAATGTATCTTAAGATCATCTTTCTTTAAATACAAGCAGCTAAGTACTGCATATGGGAGTATAAGCACACATTTTTTCCCCCAGATTTTGTGAAGCATTTAACCATATTTCATGTCTTCTGAATGTAATTTTTATTTAGAATTACAAAAATTCATTGAATAACCATAAGTGATTATATAAATGGTATTCTCTTATTTTCAGGCATTTACATACAAATCTCAGACCTTTGTGCCCCTTTAAGGGATAAAGCAAACTATTTTGAGTTTCTTTGTTTTATATTGCTGTTCTTTGTAGTCAGTGTCTATTATTTTGTGCTTTTTGAAAGTCTAGTCTCTGCTAGGTGCCATGAGACTGAAAGTTATTAAATGTAACTTCATTGCCAGATGTAATTACAATAAGCTTTTTATTTGCATTGCAGTGACTTCAACAAAAATGGAAGCTCATTCTGCTTTTTAATATTTTATTCTCGGGATTGTAAGCTTGGGAAGCTGGGGACAAAATTAAAAATATATTCCTGGGGAAGTATAGGACTGTATGTATTCATGTTATTTGAAAATTCAGGAAGTCTTTCTTAAGCATAAATATAATTTTACCTGTTGTATTTCTTGCTGTATCTAGAATTCATGAGCAGGCAGGACTGAAAGAATTGCCAGTTCCTTTCAGCCACCTGCTGTCAAATGCTGTAACACTCATCCGACTTTCTGCCAGGTGCACGCAAAATCTAGTATTACAACAGATTCACATTCTGGTTCTACTGAAAGCCAGGTGATGGCTGAGCTAGATGGTAGAGAGATACAATCT